ACTAAAGCTCTTTCTGTGCTGTGATGAGCTCTGAAACCTGACTGAAACTCTTCAAATAAACCATTCCTCTGCAGATGATCTGTTAGCTGTTTGACAACTACTCTTTCAAGGATTTTTGATATGAAAGGAAGGTTGGAGATTGGCCTATAATTAGCTAAGACTGCTGGGTCTAGAGATGGATTTTTGAGTAAAGGTTTAACTACAGCCAGCTTGAAGGCCTGTGGTACATAGCCGATTATTAGAGATAGGTTGATCATATTTAAGATCGAAGAATTAATTAATGGCAGGACTTCTTTGAGCAGTTTTGTAGGAATGGGGTCTAAAAGACACGTTGATGGTTTGGAGGAAGTAATTATTGAAGTTAACTCAGAAAGATCAATTGGAGAAAAAGAGTCTAACTTAACATCAATGGTAAAAAGTAGCTGTAGATAATATTACATCTGTGGGATGATTACTGGTAATTTTTTCTCTAATGATAGAAATTTTATTTGTGAAGAAGTTCATGAAGTCATTACTAGTTAACGTTAAAGGGATGGTTGACTCAAAAGAGCTCTGACTTTTTGTCAGCCTGGCTGAAATAGACTCTGCAGTCTATTTACACCTACAGGCCAGTGGACACTCTTTCAAGGATGAGGATGTACACATCTTGGACAGGGAGGAACGCTGGTTTGAGCGTGGAGTCAAGGAGGCCATTTATGTGAAAAGGGAAAGACCATCTCTGAATCGAGGGGGGGGGGGGGTTCAGTAACTTTTGGAGGTTCAGTACTGGTTCATGGCTTCATTTTCACATCACTACAGTGATTAAAAAAGATTCTCTTTTTGTCCTTGATGATTGCTGCCCTCGGCGGCACAGCAGAGTATAAGCATCGTGAGGGGGAAAAGTTGTGGTAGTTTCTATGTAAAGTGTATCAGTGATTGGATGTGATCGCTACCGCTTATCGTGTCCTTGAGCAATGTGCACGTGATGTCACAAAACCTCACAGATTAACTATCCCATTTAACATCTGCATGATTCTTTTTAGCAATAGGGGGAAAGCAATGCAAATTACTGTGTGATGTAAGGAGCTCTCTGATTAGTGTGAGACAGGCTGACTGCCTGAATTTCTCTACGCTGACTTTTCTACACAGTGTGTTGCTTGTACAAAGGACATTCAGCCTCGTATTTACACTCTGCCCAACATGGATATATGAAGAATGTGACGATCATTACAAGTGGTCATTGCTCTCTGGAATTGCTGCCAGCAGGATGTATCATCTATTTAAAGTGCAGAGGATTGTCTCCCTGTCAGGAATAGGCCATCTCTCAGCTTCCAGGTTAGAAAAGTGGCACAGAAGTCTTTTCTAAACTAACAGTAGGTTTAATTATTTAATTATTGTTACCTAAACAAATAACATTACACATTTTTGGATTGCAAAGCTGTTTATACAAGAAAAACAGAGTACAGCAGAGTAATAGTCTGATCCCTGCCCCCCTCAGACTGCAAGCTAAAATATCCTTTAGCATGATATTAAACAACAAAATGCTTTAACTTATTTAACAATACATATGTCACGAGTGAAAAGAATATCAACTTTATGTAAAAGGATAGCATATATTTAGCCACAGTTTTTGTTGTGCACCTTTGCTACAAGAGAAAAAACAGTTACTTATTCTGAGAGGCAAAATATTAACCGGGGTATTACAGGTATTACATAAGTAACTCATGGGTGGCATGTTCCTAGGACTGCGCTCTTCTGGACAGAGATCTCCGGTGTTGTTCCTGGGATCTGCTGGAGCCACTCACCTAGCTGTGGAGTCACCACACCTAGTGCTCCGATACCACTGGGACCTGTCATGTAATTAATATATATTCTTAATGTTTATTCTCTGATTATATTGTTTAATGTATAGGCCTTTATGAACCAGGCCCAGAGGTGACAAAGAACTAGGTCAGAGGGTGACAAGTTGCCCTGGCAATAGAGTTTAGAAAGGAGAAGTAAAGAAAAGGGGAAGTCTAGTGCAGAGCTGCACCGGAAATCTGACAGAAAAAGAGGAACTAGTAACATATAAGGAGATTTTTGTATTGAGGCTGTGTGTGACGTGTAAAGTACCAAAATAACACCTATATGAGACACATTTTTAGCTTCTAATGTTAGAGATTCTGCAACCAGCTTTGGGCTGTGCAGGGCTCTCTCTTCCGGAAGATGATTGAATAAAGAATTATAAATGTTTTGACCACTCTGTGTCGGGTTTTCTCTGTTCTATCATGGGGATCAAAGAATCGGGTTTAATAGACCACCGTCACCTTCACCCTCCACATTTTCTCAAGCTCTTCTCTGAGCCCTTGGTATTTCTCAAGCTTCTCGTATTCCTTCTTCCTGATGTTGCTGTCATTCGGAACCGCTACATCTATCACTACGGCTGCCTTCTTCTGTTTGTCTACCACCACTATGTCCGGTTGGTTAGCCACCACCAGTTTGTCCATCTGTATCTTGAAGTCCCACAGGATCTTAGCTCAGTCATTCTCTACCACCCTAAGGGGCGTCTTCCATTTTGATCTCAGGACTTCCAGGCCATACTCGGCACAGATGTTTCTGTATACTATGCCGGCCACTTGGTTATGGCGTTCCATGTATGCCCTGCCTGCTAGCATCCTGCACCCTGCTATTATGTGCTGGCTGGCTGGCTGGCTGGCTGGCTGGCTGGCTGGCTGGCTGGATGGATGGATGGATGGATGGGTGGATGGATGGATGGCTGGCTGGATGGATGGATAGATAGATAGATAGATAGATAGATAGATAGATAGATAGATAGATAGATAGATAGATAGATAGATAGATAGATAGATAGATAGATAGATAGACTCAGTAAATGTTTTCCTCACAGTCTAAATTGCTAATGTTTTCAAGGTTAAATTTCACACACCGATACAAACTTATGACAACATAATCTTTTTGTATAACATGAACATGAGTATTTTGAGCACAATATTTCTTTTGATGTGCTTTGCATTGCAAAAACACTTATTTCCACATACAATGGGTAAAATAGGTATTAAATACATTTCTAGGTAAATATTTTTCTACAGGTGCAATTGACATGAAAATTTCACCACATGTTGGTTGTAACCCATCCAATCCACACATGTAAAGACAGCAAACCATAGATACCCATCAATTAGGTTATGCTAAATAATGAGAAATCATTATTGTCTTATTGGAATGTTCAAACTCATTTCTTTGGTAGATAGCAGCAGTTTCTCTTAATCAAAGGTCTCTCTGTACTTTTTTCTATTTATTCCTCTTTCAGTTATATGAAGCGTGCCAGTGCTGAATGTTAAAAAATATCCTCACACCACGATGAACCCACTTCCAAACTTTATTGTTGATATGGTGTTTTTTGGGTGATATTCAATGCCTTTTGACCTCCAAGCAAGCTTTGTATTAAGGCATCTAAAGAGTTTAGTTTTTTTCTCATCTGACCAGACTATATTCACATCATATTTCACAGAGTTGTCAAAATGTTGTTCAGCAAACTTAAAACACACTTTGACTTGCTTTTTCTTCACCAATGGAGTCTTGCATGCTGAGCGTCAGTAGCGGTTTTTGATATGGGTGACACGGGCGGTTGCCTGGGGTGGCATCGTGGTGGGGGGCGGCATCATGGGCATCGGCAAAAATAAATAAATTTGCTCATATTCATGCTGCCCCGACATCAGCCAGCGCATATTGGAAATGGCATAGGCACCGATCGGTTTTCTATCGCCCATTTGCTGGGAGTAAGGGCGCCCTCCGTTTGTGAGGTGCGCCTGCTGCTTGCGGCACAGGGAGGAGAGGGTGGGGCGGCGGGGGATTCTCTGGCATCTAATAACCAACTCGCAAAATAAAACAAAATAAAAACAAACCAACAAACATGAAAACACCAGACATTATAATACAGACTTATAATTTGCACTGATGTTTTTTCGAAATTCTATACACAAAAAGTGAGCGCCAGAGCGCCAGAGGAACGTTTGCCCGGGGCGCCAAACAGGCTAGGACCGCCACTGCTGAGCGTCCATATAGGTCATCGCAGTTGAATGTGTCACTTATTGTTTTCTTTGAAACAATTGTATCAGCTAATTTCAGGTCTTTCTGTAGCTCTTCACAACCTGATTGTACCGGAGGGACGTTTGTGCCTGGTGGGACTTTCAATTGAGGACATAGAAGATTTATACCTATTCAGAACCATGGTAACTGGGTTCTTGCTGATCGGAGCTGGCCCTGGCTTTTCGAAGATTGAAGAAAGAAAACCCCACAAGGCTAGCCGCTATGATGTAAGTGATGGGAAGGGCTGTGAGTTCTCAGACTGTGCTTATTGAACGCAACATGGATCTTGGAGAAGCTCACAGCTCCTCAACGGGGAATTGACAGACCCGGTGACCAGTGACTGACATTTAGATCGGCTTTAAAGTTGGATGGAGCGCGTTCGCACTAAACCCAAACAACCATCATTTCTGACCTGTCAACCCAACGTGATGTTTGTGTATTGTATGTATGATCAGGAGAGGTCAAGTCTTGCTGCAGGCAACTGCAAGTGGCAAATAAATGGCTTCATCATCATCATCATCATCATCACCTTTTTATAGCCCATAAGTTGGGACTGAATCAGGTGATATTAATTTGCATTAAGTGGCAGGATTGCTTTCTTATTACTGATAGTTTTAAGTTGGTGTCATGACTTTTTGCACCTTCTTCATGTGTTCAATACTTTTTCCCTGTGTCAGTTTTCGCTATCAAACATGGATTAATTTATGGACATCTATGGTTTGATTTCCTTGCATGTGTGGATTGGATGGGTTGTTACTGACAGATTTTTATTTCAATAATACCTTTAGAAATACGTTTACTCAGAAAATTGGTGACGTGTTCAATACTTATTTTTCCCGCTGTAAGTGTCCACTGCTTTCTGTTCAGCTTCATTTCAGGAGGTCATCTCATGGCTCTGTGTTATGCATTATTTTTTGGGCGTGGATGTTAAGTTATGGAGAAACTCTCTTCTCACATATCCAGAATTTTTCATTGGAACATGATTCATCGTTCCAGCTTTTTTCTGAGTCGTAAGTTTTAATCTCTCCACAGTTTTCATTTCTGCCACCATTTGGTTCCCCACTATTCCAGTAGCTGAAATACAAATAAAATTATAAAAGTTAAACTCAACAATTCAGTCAGTCTTTGGTTTTGTGTGACATGATATTAGTTAAAATAAGTTAGTTAATGTACTTAATGACATAAGAAGACTTTGTGGACAAGAGAGGAATTTAATTTGTATTTCAACCTTGTGGTCATGCGAGTCCCATCCACCCATTTCCATGTCCCCTCTGTCTCTGAGTCAGTCAGTCCAATCCACAAACGCATCTTGAGCTGGTTCACAAAGTTCTTTTTTTAGAAAGAAAGAGAAAGAGAAAAACTAAATGTAAACATGCAGAACTTAAAGTGATTCATCAGTGTATCCTCTGTTTTCATGCAGCTTCATTCACATGTGTATTGTGATTGAACACACACCTGTTCCCCTCGGCTGTTAATAATCATCAGGTCTGCACCTTTTTGAAGACAGTCTTGTCTGCTTTGTTGCCAGGATTTCTTCTCTGAAGAAACTTGAAACAAACTACCATTGAATGCCGCCCAGTTTTGTTGATAAGCTGTTTAAGAAAATCAGAATAAAAATTTGGGTTTACTGGGGGACGGGTAGCATCCATACAACTCCAGTCATAAGCCTTTAAAAACCATTGCTTTGGAGAAGAAATCAGTGGTACAAATTCAAAACACAAAAAAATTTGAAAAATGTTAAATTTTTGTGACCTCAGAGGGAGTGCTTCTCGGATTTAATAATTTATGTCTGGTAATGTTGCTCAAGTCAGCAACTGTCACTGTCTTGAGAAAGTTAATTAAAGTTAAGTTAGGGAGAAATCAACTTTTCTCTTCTGTCCACTTCTCGTTTTGAATCCTTGATGGTGTTACAGTAATTTGTAGCATAACACACTCTGAACCAAAACCACAGTATTAACATGTCTTCTATTAACATGAAGAACACTAGAGTTATTTTTGGAGCTGAGAAGCCAGTTAAACATCAGAAGGTTGTTTCTTGTCAATGCAGGTTAATGCCCCACTATAAACGGTCTAAATAAGCTTATATGAACGTATAGAATATTCATATGTTCACTCACATTAGCCTCAGTTTACATTTACAACTTTACCCTTCAAAGGCCTTTCCCAAGATACATTCTGCTTGCAAACTCCACACACTCCACACAAGCCCAGGATTGTTGTGCTAACCACACATCACTATGCTGCTCTCCCCCCAAGATCCTTAATCACTGTTAAATTGCTATTAGAGATCAAATAAGCAGCTGGATAGTATAGTGGTAAGACTACACACCTTTAGAGTGGGATTTGAAAGTTTGATTCCCACCCGGTATCCAGTAAGGGTCCTAGCTAGACCCCCCCCATTGCTAAACCAAAGCCCTGGAATGGTGCAGCCTGTCCCAGCTCGGACACAAGCATTTCCCTACATGTTGTACTGTGTATGTGACAAAAAACTTGAATTTTAAATGGCCATTGAGCATTAAGAAATAATTACCTTGAAGCTTTCTCTGAAGATTGTCACTGTTTGTGGTCAGGTTGTCAAATCTTTTCTGGAGCTGTTCTTTCTCTTCAACCAGGTTGTTGTAACGGGTCTGTAATTGGCTCTGTTCAGTTTTCAGGTTGTCGTAACGGGTCTGTAATTGGCTCTGTTCAGTTTTCAGGTTGTCGAAACTGGTCTGTAACTGGTTTCTCTCACTGGTCACGTTGTCAGCAAGCTTGTGTAGTATCACTGTCTTCATTTTCCACTGAGATTTGCCTTGGGTGACTGTTGGACATCATCATAAAATAAATACATCACCTGTGAGGATTTTAGCATGCTAATTAAACTTCTGTTGTACTCACAAAGAAAAACTAAAGTTATGAGTCCAATGAAGAGGAAAAGACACAGCAGACCCAGAAGAATCACAGCAGCTCTGCAGAAACTCTTCTTTACAAATTCAGCACCTGAAGGTAGAAGTCAAAATTTGTTATGTCTAAAAATGAAAAATGTTCATATCCTCAAATTTAATATAACACCAGTTTCATTTCTTCTCTTTTTTTTTTTATCAAAAAGTAGTACGTGATCATTTCTGCTCCTAAAATCAGTATCTGAGAATGGGTCTTGGTGTCAGTGACACAAATAGTGTTAGTTACAAAGTATTCGTATTGTATTATTTTCTCTTCTGAGCTCTTTCCAAACAAGCAAACACCGGCAACAGTGTAAACTTCGATTAACACTGAAACTGTCGTGGCTGCAACGGCAGACGTGTGGGGTTATAAGTGAGAACCCAAGATGCAGGCACTGCTGATGTGAGTGAGCTTTATTGTGGAGAGGGACATGCAACAAAAGGCAAGGGTCACGAGAACAGAACTGAGAAATAGTTGGAAACTGGGAAAATTTAGAACTAAACAACAAACCTGAACACAAGGAGACAGAGAGTAGAGGTACATGAAGAATGAACGCATAGAGGAACACGGGGAGAAAACGCAGCCAGAACAGCAACAAGCAGAAGGAAACAAAAGGCTTGTATACACGGTAGAGTAATCAGGGAATAGGAGACAGGAGGAAAACACAGCTGGGAGAAATCAGAGACAAGGGGAACAAAACCAGACACACTCACATAAGACACGGGACTTCACAATAAAACAGGAAACTCACACATGCAAAGACACAGACTCAGAGACGCAGGCTTTACACAGAGACCTGACTACACTGGAACAGAGGGAGAACAGAATAACATGAGGGGCAAAGAGGTCAAAACCCAGGACCTAGAAATACCAAAACTGAAACACACACATCATAACATAACATAACATCAGGGATATAAATAATAAACAATTCAACTCACTGGGTCACAGACCCAGGACCATGACAGAAACTACCGGTAATCAAAACTAAATTATTATTGTTATCTCAATCAAAATTAACAGCTAACAAAAAATCCACAACTACAGTAACTCTACAGCAGATTGCATTTCCTGAAATTAGTCTTTTGTTTTCTTCAGACAGTTTATATAAAATTCTTAATTTTAGATTTAGTTTTGTTTGTCGACAAAACTTCAGCAACACGTAATTGTAATATCTATAGATAGGTTTGTGTTTTTTACCTGGGGGTGAAGGTCCAGTTGTTTTACGTTGTACGGTTTGGATCACTTCATGATTCATATAAATGTCTTCTGAAGTTCTATGCTCACTTCTGTACTTTCTGCGACAACCTAATACTTCCTCTGCATTCTCATAGACTTCATCCATGACTGGAGGTTTAGTTGGGTCTTTAAGTCTCTGAGGTGATCAGTGCTTTGCGAGAGTCTCTGTAGTTGTGTGTAGTAGCTCTGAACTGTGTGAAAATATATTGACACAAGCAGTTCTCTTTTTAACAGGAAATTAGAGGACTGGTGGCATGCCTCAAGACTGTGTTTGTGTTATAACTCCATTCATCTTTGCATTTGAATATGCACACAACACTCACTGCAGCGCTTTGTTGACTTGAAAGAATTTATAATATATCATACATGTAGTATGAATAGAAACAGTAGAGAAGGCCATCTTTTACATTATATATATAATTAAATTACATTGTATATGTTATAATGTGTTTTTAAAAAGTCCAAACTTCCTGTGTGACATTATTTTATCACATTACTGTAATACAATCTTTATGAGATCTGACACACTTGTTCAGTTGCTTTGTCTTTGTACCTAAATGCCTGCTAAAGGTCTCATAGTTGTGAAAACCATCACAACATTGTTTGTTTATGCACAAAACAAAGAGCATTCCTCATAGTTTTGTGTTGTGGTTCCTGGGTTATTTGAGCCAGTGTATTGAGTTTCTTTGGGTTCATGATTTATTTCTGAATTTATAATATGTGTTCTACATTGTTTAGGCCTTTAGCTTCGTATTATTTTCATGTGAATATATGTCTCAGTGTCCCCTTGCCCATCGTTAAAGTCTTCTAGCTGATTATTTTGTGAATACTGTAAAGCATTCACACTGTAAAGCATACTGTAAAGCATGTTATTGTTTTGTTCCTATTTTTTATCCTTCTTCTTTTTCTTTAAGTTGCCCTTTTAGGTCTTTTGGCCTTTAACTACTTCTCCATACTTTGTTCTATTTTAACTATTCTACTTTTTTTCTCTCCAGCTATACTTTCTATTTATTGCTATTTAACTTTTATACTTTTTAAAATATTCAGCTTTTTTGTGGCTTTTCTGCTCCCATTGATGAATAGAAATTAAAAACTTCCAGAATTCCACCAACACTTTGTTGTTTTTGAAATTCAACTGCTTCCACATACTTTCACTTAGAAGCACCATTCAAACTCAGAAATGCTCTCAAACCACTGGGCTACTACTGTATAATTCGGCTTTTTCATGCATTTTACTGTTTTCATAAAATCCCTACTTAAGTTTTTATTGCATCATGATAATTTTTTAGAAAATACATGCGTTGCTTTGGTTGCAATGCAATCAAGACTGTACTACTCTAGCTTTCTGAATCTGTTCCTTATGTTCGAACAAATTCTCCTTACACAATCAATTTCCCCTCTTCCTTCACAAATTAGATACAAAAATATAGGTCTCTAGTCAGAAAATGTGACTGTCATTGATGTGGGAGTTACAGATTTCTGGTAAATCTACCCAAAGCAATAAAAAGTCTAAGCACTGGCAGGACTGGCAGGGAAGAAATACAAATTTCACTCAAAATCAGAGCTGGAAGTCTCTAACCTGCCATACAAGAATGTTTAAATCACATGTTAACAAACACAAACATAAACAAAAGAAAAAAAACTGTGAACAAGTCTGAACCTTTTGGACTGCAGGAAGTATACTACTGTATTTTTTTAATGTACTGTAAGCTTTTATTTACTATGTTTTGTTATTTTTCATTGTCTCCTTCCTTTTTTTTTTATGTTGCCTTGTCAAAGGAAAAAGTGGTGCTTCAGTGAATGCGCCACTTGATCAACATCAAAACTTCAATTAAGTTTTATTGACACAATAAAGTGGGGGTCCCGGGTGGGGGGGGGGGGGGGGGGGGGGGGGGGGGGACAGGATTTGAAGTGTGCTAGGACCAGCTGCTCTAAGCACTTTGTGATGATGGGGGTGAGTGCTACTGGGCGGTAGTCATTGAGGCTAGATGGGTTGGAGTTTTTGGGTATCGGGACAATGGAGGTGGATTTGAAGCAGGCCGGTACCACAGCGTGGGCTAAGGATAGGTTGAATATGTCTGTCAGCACTCCTGCAAGCTCCTCAGAACGCACTCTGAGAACACGCCCGGGGATGCCATCAGGACTTGCAGCCTTGTGGACATTGATCCTGCTCAGCACCGCATCAGAAGGTGTGGGGGAGGGGTCGGTGGTCCTGTAGTCTGTAATGGTCTGGAGTCCTTACCACATGCGTCGGGGGTTGGAGTTGGAGAAGTGTTCTTCTACCTTCTTTTTGTAATGGTGTTTGGCTTTTTTGATGCCCTTCTTTAGATTAGCCCTGGCTGTACTGTAGGCATGTGCATCTCCTGACCTAAAGGCGGTGTTGCGGGCCTTCAGGAGGAGACAAACATCCCGGTTCATCCAAGGCTTCTGGTTGGGGTACATGGTGATCCGTTTCTGGGTGGTGACACTGTCTGTGGTTTTGGAGATGTAATCCAGTACAGATGAGGCGTACTGGTCCAAGTCTGTGTGGGTGAACGTATTCCAGTCTGTGTTTTTAAATCTTTCCTGGAGCACTGCGTCTGTCCCCTCTGGCCACACTTTAATTGGCCTCACAGCAGGTTTCACACGTTGGATGAGTGGACCTTGTGGACCTTGTGCACAAGGTCGTTTGTGCACAAGAACTAATTAATGTTGAGGAATTTAAGTATTTGGGAGTGCTACTAGTCTCGAAATTATCCCTTTAAAAAAACATGTTGAAAATGTAGTGAAAAGTGTAAATGTTAACATACGGAACTTTAGACATATCCACACATCATGAACAGACACAGCAGCGATTACATTCCTGTACTCTGTGATACTGGCTCATATTGAATACTGTATTACAAGTTGGTCCCATACTAGTCTCGCTGCTATTGGGCCAATCGAAGTATGCAAGTGATGGCAAGCCACACGTGGTAAGCTCCACACCTCACCACCAGTTAATTCACTTTAGTTTACTTTGCCATTTGCTTTGGTTTTGTGCGTGTTTATTATATCTGAAAACGGGAAAAAGGTAAAATATCAAAAATCTGCTTCCATAATATAAATATCATTAAATAACTTTAGAAAAACTTCCACTTGACTCTTTATATGTAATGTTGTAAAAATATATATTTTATTGTTTAATTAATCTGAAAATGTTAGTCTGCCAAATGTGCAGCAATTGAATTTATTTATTCTCTTTATCTGATAGTTTGTGGGGTCCAGTTAGAATGTATAACTGCATCTCTACCAGTTTCTCTGCACTCCAGCCTCTTCTGTGCCATGTGAAGGGATTTCCCTTAAGGCAGGAGAAATTATCTCCACGAAAAGGAACAGGTTCGGCCATCGCACACTAGAACAAATTCTCTTCTTAAATAAAAATGAAAAAGGGCTACTTTAAATGCATCATGTTTTTAATTTGCAAGTTCATAAGCATTTTCCCTTTCCAGTTCACAATCAATTCTACCCCAAGGTCAGAAATATGTCTTGGAAATTTTCCCTAATATAATATTATTTATAAATATACCCGTGTAGCGGTTAATTGCATAAGTGCATGGAGGCAGGACCTCAGAGCAGAATAATACTCCATAATGTGTTGTACATTATTATATG